CATTTTCACGTATTTGCCCTGACCAGACATGTTATTTAACAGAATCATACAACGAGATTTTCTAAGTGTATACTCTTAGTTATCTGGGGTTTAGGCTTTGTCCATGCTGCTGTATGTTTTAGTAGTTCATTCCTTTTTGTAGGTGCATGGTAGTTCACTTACAGACATACCCAAATGTACTTATTCAACATTTTGATGACTGTTTAGGGAAAGTTTCCTCTTGGTGAGATTATGAAGAATATAGCTATGAACATTTAGACACAGTCATTGTGTTTTTGTTTGCTTGAGTAAATACCTAAGAGTGGAATTGTCTACTAACAATGAGAAATTATTTGAGTAATTCCCTAAGGATTTGGTAGAGCATTTCCCAAGTTAATTGCACTATTGTTGTCTCCGGATTTTTAGGCCAAAATAACTTTGGTTTTCTATTTCTGCAAAACTTTGAAAGAGATTCTTACGTTGAGTGAACCAATTTAACTTTGGAATAATTGTCAAAAGTGTGTGTTTGTTTTGAGTTTGTGCAATGTTTCATAGGGCTAGAATTTTGATGGCAGTTGTTACCTAGGTATGTATTTCTCTTGCAGACCAAATCAAGACAGAAATATACTTTCTCCTTGACCTCATCAGTTCTCAGTCAGCTAATGAGCTTCCTTTGCTAATGTGGAGCAAACTGGGCCTTGGGAATTTATAGTTTAATAACCACTTCACTCAATGAATTACCTCAGGAGTTACTAGTCATCCATAAGGTACTCTGCATGTGAGAATCCAGAAATAGCTCTCGAGCAAAGAGGTTTGGCTTAGAAACTTGAGGAAATGTTGCTAGTAGCAGTTTGCTTAAATTTGGCTTTTCAGTAATAGTGGCATTTTAAGTGGGGAGAAGTTGTCATCCATCATGAAACCCAACACAGCACCATGGCTTTAAGATACGCAGTGCCAGAAAACAGCCCCAAAAGCCTGCACATTTTCCTACTCAGTGATTAATGTTTTCTCTAGCATATTTCACTTTGTTCTGTATTAAATGGGCCCTGGGCTGAACAAAAGAGACCCCTAAAATAAGCCCTCATTGGAATGGTGAGCTGTTTTTTTTGGGGGGGGCAAACCTAAACATCTCAGAGAAATTGATTGCAACAGATAATTTCAAGTAGAGAATTACAATTTTCCTCTTTTCTGTATCATTCAGTGTATGTTTTACTAGAGGAATAAGGAGAGAATGGTACAAGTTGCAGGTCTGGGACTAGTTCACAATCAAAATTAATTTGGGGTAGGGCCAGTACAGTAGTAAAAAATACTTGTCTTCTAAGTAAAAAATAATTGATGAAGCAACTTCTCCTCCCCCAAAGGGACCCACAAGTCCCCCAAGTGGACAGAAACACATGGTTCCTGAGAGGTGACACATGCTTCAATGGAATCAATTACTTCACTTTCCAAGGAAAGAAAAAGAAAATTCAGAATAAAATTAAATTCAGAGACACAAATTAACCGTTTCTAACATCAGAAGTCATTGATGCCAAAACAAAGGCAAATGCTCAGACCACAGCTGGGGCCAATGTACCTGGGGATGCAGGGTGGGTTTGGGGCTGGCAGAGGGAGGCTTTGGTGTGATTCTTTAGGGGTTCAGGAGAAATCTCTTACCAAAATGCCCTTCTTTTACAGTTGTAGTATGTACAAAATAATTTTCCATGTTTGTGGAATACAGTGTGACATTTGGTTAAAAGTGTGTTAGCATCCAAACAAATAAGCATTTTAAAATTTGATCATTTGTGCTGGGAATAGTCAAAATCCTCTTTTGAAATAGCATATAGTGTTGTTGTCCTACTATGTGCTATAACATTAGCAATTTAGAACTTCATCTTCCTATCTAAATGTATTTTGGGACCCATTCGTTATTAATCCTGTCTACTCTTTTTTTGGGGCGGGGAATGGGCAGTTCAAGACAGGGTCTTTCTGTGTAACAGCCCTGGCTGTCCCAGAATTCATTTTGTATCCCAGGATATCCTTGAACTCACAGAGATTTGCCTGCCTCTGCCTCTTGAGGGCTGGGAATAAGGGTGTAGGTCACTAGGCCAGGCTTTCCTCTCTACTTTATCATTTGTTGTTTTACTGGTGACTTATGTGACCTTAATGGCCATTTTTGGGCTGTTGGGTTGACAGGACTAGACCAGCCTCCAGTTCTGTCCTCATGAAGAGAAGGTGTCAAGGTGCTGAGCTGGACTGAGCACAACAGGCCCTCCCTGACACCATGAATGCAGCAGCCCAGCATTTGGGAGAAACTGAGCTCTCCATCCCTGCCCACTTGACCTGTGTGCACATTAGATTTCTACAATGTGATGCTTCTCAGCTTCATTTTGTCTCAAGAGAAAAGCTTGATAATTCCAACCAGAAACTAAAATAGTGTTGTGAGCTGGTAGTCAGTGGCTGCTGCTTTTGCTTTCTTTCCTAGAGTCTACTACTGATGTGACACTTGCTCTCCTTTCTGACTTCTGTATGTGATCATTATGAGGATAATTCTAAGAAATTCTTTTTATATTCCCAACTAAGTGCTCCCAGGGACACCGAACAAGCAAGTTCAATAGACTAGAATTTATTTTAAACAGAAGGACTTTAGGTATTCATTTGGACAAGACCTAGAGGTGATGTGACAAATTACAGATTTCCAACTCTTTTTTTTTTTCATTATCTCTCAATTTCCTGAGACACCAGAAGTGAGTAATTGTAATTGTACTGGGTAGTTTTATAGGATGGTGTCATATACATGACCTTTTCTTCTCCCTTAAGTAATTTGGGAATAAAAATATGGGGAATGATTTCCTTACATGAAGTAAAATTTTAGACAAACTCAGATATTTATGGAATAACTCTCACTTATAAAAATTTTGCTTAGGCATTGTAGTGTGTGTACATATAGCAAACATCAAGAGAGTTGCTTTTATTCTAACTTGAGAATATTTTAAAATATGGTCAGATGTGACAGTGCATATGTGTAGTCACAGCTGAAATAGGAGGACTGTAGTGAGCCCAGGACAAGTCTGGGACAAATAATGTATCAAACAAAAACAAGACAAAACAACAACAACAAAAAAACAAATGAACAAACTTAAAGGGGGGGCGCTAGGGAGATAGTCAGTAAAGTGCTTGCTGCTTCAGCATAAGGGCCTGAGTGTGATCCCTAGTATCTGCATAAAATTCCAGATGTGGTAGCCCACATTTGTTATTCTATTGCTGGGGAGGCAGGGACAGAGACTCCTGGGGCTTTCTGGCCAGTCAGCCTATCCCACTTTATGAGTCCCAGATCCCTGTGTGAGATCTTGTCTCAATAAAACTAGATGGACAACTCTTGAGGAATATATATACACACTCTCAGACTCCCTAAAAGTTCTTGATATTACTTTAAAAATAATTCACAGTAACTTTGTTGAACCATTAAAGTGGTGTGATACTTATCACATGTTCAATCCATGGTTCATCCTAAAGTAAGCAATCTCCTGAAGGGAAGCCTGGGGTAGGGCAGTGGCAGTGCAGGTCAAGTCAAGCTTTAAATCTTTGGCATCCTTTAATCTCAGCACTTGGGAGGCAGAGGCAGCTAGATCTCTGTGAGTTCGAGGCCAGCCTGGTCTACAAAGTGGGTTCCAGGACATCAAGGACTGTTACATAGAGAAACCCTGTCTCAAACAAACAAAAATTTTGGCATTTTTTTAGCCATTCCATCACAGTGGCTTTTAAAGCAAAGATGAAAGTATGATGAACATTCACATCTTCTCCCCTGCACTTAGGGTTGCTATCATTAGTCAGACCTGGATACATCTTGAAAACCAGAAGGCGCCGGGCGGTGGTGGAGCACGCCTTTAATCCCAGCACTCGGGAGGCAGAGGCAGTCGGATCTCTGTGAGTTCGAGGCCAGGCTGGACCGATAGCCTCCAAAACAATACAGAGAAACCCTGTCTCATAAAAACAAAAAACAAAAAAACAAAAACAAAAAAAAACAAAAACAAAAAACAAAAACAAAAACCAGAAGGCTCAACCATTCTTTCCAATAGTGAGCACTAATCCCTAGCTATTATCTGCAAATTAACACTTCTTCCTGTGCTGTGGTGTTTTGAATGAGAATGGCCCCCAAAGGCTCATATATTTGCATGCTCAGTTTCCAGTTCAATGAGCTCTTTGGGAAGGATTAGGGGTGTGGCCTTATTGGAGTGGATTTGCTTATATTGGAAGAGGTTTGTTTGTTGCTGTGGGTGGGCTTTGGGGTTTCTAAGGCCCACGGCAGACCCAATGTCTCTCTTTGCCTGCTGCCTGTGGATCAGAATGTGAAACTTTTGGCCGTTGCTCCAACTCTATGCCTGTCTGCTTCTCATGATGATAATGAGCGATGCCTTATGAAACTATAAGCAAACTTCCAGTTAAATGCTTTCTTTTGTAAGAGTTGCCTTAGTCCTGGTGCCACTTCACAATGACAGAACAGTGACTAAGGTATTCCCCTGGCTAAGAGGGTAGCTTGCTCTGTTGTGCTATTTTTTTCCCTTGCAGAATGGAAGTGAGTTTATGTCTTCTTTTTTTAATTACCTGAGACTTGTAACATCACCAACCACCTGGAGCTTTTGAAAATGCAGATTTTGATTTACCATGTCTTGGGTGGAGTTTGGGACTCATATTTTTTTAACTTATTTTTATTTTATGTGTATGAGTGCCTGCTTGAATACATGTGTACCATATGCATGTTTGGTGTTCATGCAGACCAGAATATGGATGCTCTGGAACTGGAGTTATAGACAGTTCTAAGATACCGTTTGGATGCTGGGAACTGAATCTAGATCCTTTTCTAGAGCAGCTAGTGCTTTTAACCACTGAGCCATCCTTAATAGTCTAGGTGGTGCCACTGTTGGTTACTCGTCTGTGGGCCTTATTGATTATCAAGGTTCACTAGAAGACCATTCACAAGAGGGGAGATATAATTAGAAAAGTATATAGTGTCACTCAGTAAGGAAGAAATGCGAAAACAAGTGTTCCATTAGAAGCTGAAGTTTTATTATAGGATAAGAGCACACAAAGCACATCTAAAATTGATGTGTTCAATGCACTTTTAATAAAGGTACTGTAATGTTAAAGGTACAGTTGCTAAGTACAATATAACAACATCCATATTAGAATGAAAATTGGAGTATTTAAAAGACAACATTAAATCTCTCTTTTTTACAGCTTGTATTTACAAAATGAATCAAAATATTTTTTCTTTAAATTCAGGATTCAATAAAATAAACAGCTGGGACTAAGGAGTCTACTACTGTAGAGAGAGGATTGAAAAGAAAACCCAATGTCAGTGAGAAGTAGGATGAGCCTCTAGTAAAGATCATTAGCAAAGTTTCAGGTCCACACTATGGTTTTAGGAATCCCATAAATGGTTTGCATTTCTAGTGTGACAGAAAAAGAAGCTTTACATCCTGTACACAAGAGAGACAGCATCTTATTTATAGGTTCGGCATCGCTGCTTCCAACCTTTCGTGACTACTTACAGCAGGCCAGGCTTGTTACCTGTAGAGTTGTGTGACATTTGTGTGCTTGATCCTGGAGACCCACACACAATTAGACTCAGCATTTCATGTCCTCCAAAAGGACAATTTGACCTGTAGACTTGGTTATAGGATTGTTAACTGTATGACTTTGCATGTTTAATCAGTTTTTGCCAAAAAAACACTCAGGGTGGAGAGTGTTTTAATTGTGGGCACTCTTGTCATCTTAAAGTTATCAAATGCTGACATGTACTGGCCATGTGCAAGTAGAAAGAGATAAGATTTCTACCCTAGGGAAGCTTGGGATACTAAACTGAGCAAAAATCAATCATTCAATCAATCAATCAAACAAACAAAAAAATGTTTCAATCTCTCTTCAAGCTAGACAGTTAAGGAATGGCATGATTGCATTAAAAGAGATATCTCCCTAAATTGTATCAAATTCAATTTAAAAGATCAGTTATTAGCATTAGCTTTCATTAACCACCTGATTACATTTATAACCAAGGGAACAGCAATAAAAATGGAAAATGTCCAGAATGGTGGCTAAGTTCATATTGTGATGCGTGGGATCCACTAATTGTGACTCGAGAAGTTATCACCTTCAGTTACAAAAAGTGCAGTAAACAGAAACATTTGCTCTATATTTATAAATTGCTCAAAAATCTTTGCTAAAGATCTTACAAATTCAGTAATATTACAGAACAATTCTAATCAATATTTAAGAAGGCTAATTACATCCTTAACTAGATATTTGATGTAGAACTTTAACAATGCCAATCAGTCTTGGGGAAAGAGGTCCAAGAGTTAACAAAGATCCTCCACTCAGTTCACAGAACTGGTTGCAGCCACAACAAAGTATCATTCCCTTTTTGAATTTGGAGTGAAGCCCAATGTATATGTCCGTATCTCAAGAGGGGGATGGCTGGCGGTGCTACTGATCTTCCATGAATATTCTACATATTATCTATACTAGGAATTAATGTATATTTCAGTTAGGTGCCAATTACAGAGTTCCTCAGTAAGGCAAGAAAGAATTTTTCCATTAAACGAGATTGTTGCCTTGGGGTCAAGGCCTGTCAAATTCTTTTTCAGCTCAAGAGATGTTATGTAAAGCGGAGCAACACACTTAAATGGTAAAAGTTTTTCATGTCCATATTTATGAACAAACTCACCCAATAGATGTCAAATATCCATATTAAGGATGTAATTTTATCCTAATTAAATACACTCTAGAATAATTTATATAATGATATTATGTATTTAAAGAGAAAAGCATGTCCCAAATCCAGCACTCTGATACAGTTGCCAGTTGGGTACAGGTAGATATATGTATATATTTATATATGTATATATATACAAATATATAGTTATACTCAGTGAAATTAACAAGACCCAAAGGTGGTTTTGTCTAGGAATAAAAGGGATATTTTTTTTGTTCACAAAAGTAACTTATCTAGCACCACACATCAGAAAAACACAAAAATAGCACACTCTAGTTCTAAACAGCTATGTCTAAAATAGATTATATAGTAAAACCAGTATTACACAGCATATTGTGGATTTGATAAACAGATAAATATTTGCACTGAGTAGGCTGTTTATAATATAACATCTTCTTATCTATACAGAACAAAAGCCAGAAAGTTAACTGTATAGAGGTGTGCAGAACAACATTAAATATTATGACTCAAAAGCAGGGGTGAAGGTAAATTTGAAAGAAGAGTAGGAGAGAATGTGTACAGGCCATTACAAGTTCTTAAGTTAATAGTAAATATGGACTCTGTTGCTTGAGTTGAAGAAAGCGGTAAACAAGAGATTGCATTTACATGCAGATGTCTAAAATTTGTAGTTTTTAAAGTCTATGCACAAAAGTCATTTGTTTTATTGCTTGACATTCAGTTATGGCTAGATTATTTAACCTATTATTTTTTTGTACTTTGGAAACAAGTATATTGTTAAAGGTGCCATAAAAATGGACAACATTGAAAACGGTTTGTAAATAAACCACCCAACACTGCAGTTCTTTACAGATTAAAAGCCTTGTCTGGGGTTTGTCATAAATTCAATATATTTAAACTGGGAAAATATGTTGTAGCTTGAAGCCTCCCATTGGCCCAAATATCCAATACAAAAACACATCTCCACAAAAGGAGCAGGCAGACAATACAGGTACATTTAAAGAAGCAGCCAGCTAATGTCCTACTGTCTAAAACATTCACCACTGTTGTAGATGAGATTTCAAACGACTGTGGATAAGCAGAGAATTGAGGATTCAGGAAGATTTGTACAGTACATATGGATCATGTGTGTGTGTGTGTGTGTGTGTGTGTGTGTGTGTGTGTGAAATCATATTCACTATATTGCTCAAGAAATTTCTGCATTTAAGTATGCAACATGTTCAGTGATCATCTTCTTAGAAGTAGTGACTCCTCCACACAAATCCTAATGAATGAGAAAGGAATCATACATGAACACCAGAGAGAAGCCAGTTGTTCCAGGAGGACAGCATAATGACATGCATAGCACATAAAGCTAACAGCAAGTTGTCTGTCCTTAGCTTCTAGAAGGATCAAAGAAAAAGCATAGGACAGCTTATGGGACAAAACACACTGCATGTAAACAGAGAACACAGATTCTCTAGGCATCTCTTCCAAACATTCAACTCCACTCTCCACACTAGACCCCTGGGAAAAGGTGGTTTATATTTGGATTAAATATTCTGTCACCCATTTACAAGTAAATAAGCGACTGAACAGTGTTTATTGCTCTAAGTTGTGAGGGTGTGTGTGTGGTTGAACATGCTCTGCCCCCATTCATGGTGGCTTCCTGGTATGAAGCCACCTTCCTGGTATGAAGCACCCTTCCTGCTTGTTTAAAAAAATATATTTTGAGAGTGTCACAAGCTGATCACACACATGCATGCACGGGCACAGGAAGCACACACAGTCAGGAGTGCAACCAATCACCTTCGAAGACATTGGTAGTTGGCCTTCTCAATCAATTAAAAGTTAACAGCAATGGGAAGTCCCTATTCTCAAAACTGGTGGAAACATTTCATACATTAGTGCTCAGAGAACAGAATGAAGACCATAATGACAGAAAATAGCAGTTGATTAGTATTTGATTGTTGTGGCTGCATTTCTGGGCACATAACTGATCCACAGTATAAGGCTGCCCTTGTGGGGTTTTGTAACACAACTTCATGAATAAGAGGTAGCCCTGTGATGGTATCTAAAAATGTCTATCACATGTATATATGGATGGAGAGAGAAAAGGAGAGGAGGGAGATTTCTGTCTCCTCCTACACTCAAAGTGTGAGGAGGTTTTGTCACATGATGGACAGGGACAGGTTCCCCCATACCAAGTTCTCTTACAGCAATAAGAAGCTATGTAACTCTGCCAAGCATGTATTAGGGGGCAGGAGACTCAGAATCATTAGCTACCGTGAGCTGACTTTTATGGGAAGCGGTATATGGGAATGAGAACAGAACCACGGTTCAGAACTGAACGGAGATATGGTCTGTCGTGAAGGGACTCCTCCGTCTTTAGAAGTCATCTCTTGCAAGAAAACGAAGAAATAACCCTACAAACCAGAAAAGCTAGAGATGTGGCGTAGGAGTTGCTTTGCATAACAGGAGTTTGGTTTGCTCCTGGAGGAGAATGCAGCGAAAAACAACAACAAACAACTTGTTTTCTAGCTCTGAAAGACTCTGTTGCTGCCCATTTCACTGATAGGTCTTACTGCTGGTTAAAAAAACTTAATTCAGAACATAGAATTTGAAACTGTAGCTGGGCAGTGGTGGCACACACCTTTAATTCCAGCACTAGGAGGCAGAGGCAGGCGGATCTCTGTGAGTTTGAGGCCAGCCTGGTCTACAGTGAGTTCCAGGACAGGCTCCAAAGCTACACAAAGAAACCCTGTCTAGAAAAAAAAATTGAAACTGTTTAAAATTAAGAAATATGTTTTCCATGATTTTTTTTAATTATTAGGAAAACAGCAAATGGGCTACAGTTTGCTCCTTGATTGGTCTATCACTTCTGAATTCATCTTTCATACACACTGGCAGAACTTCACACTGCCTCAGGAGTTACAAAGTACTTTGAAACACAGGAATTTTGAACTCAACAAAATGAGACAGTGAAGAGTTCACACAGACAGGCAGGCAGACACACACATATATACACACTTCTCTACAGTTCACTTGTGCCTTGGAGGGATAGAATTATCATCATTCTTTTTAATACTAAGAACACAATTTGTCCCAGTCCACTGGCCACCCTGTTTAAGAGTTTTAGAAGATCCCTGAGCACAGTGTTTCTGACTCTCAGCCCCAACTCCAGATAACAGGGCTCTGTCCTTGACACCAAGATGGATTGTCATTCACAGTAAGTCAATCATAAGGTGCGTTATTTTTCCCCTTTCATTTTCCACCAGTCAGCACAAAGAACTGTCAGAAAATAGCTTTTTATTATTATTATTAATAATAATTGTTATTTGAAAATAATAGTACTGGAAAGACATGACTCAAACAATCGGTGTTTGAAACAGTGGCTTTAGGCTGATTATCTGGCTGCCTCTCAACAATAACAAGTGATTCGATCGACATTCCTTAGCCAAAAAACAAAAAGGAAAATAAACCCCAAAACAAACAAAAATCCAAAACAAACCCAACAACTGTACAAATATGTGTTTTTCCCTGAGGGATCAAAGTACACCCGCAAGTGCTCTATGTACAGATATTGCACTAGGTAGGAATTAAAGACGTGTGCAAAAAAGCAACAAGGAGAGTCGCTTGCATCCTACTGAAACCTCCTCATCAAGGCTTCTTCTAAGTTGCTTTGCATTTTGGAATGTCGGAACACAAACAGCCATCCCTTAGTCTAAAACTAAAAACACGTACATCTACTATGGCACATTCAATGAAATAAAAAGTTTTCCAAAGACAGATAGGCAAATTCCATCAAGAAAATAATACAAAGTTTGTTTGTTTGTATTTTTTTTTTTAGAAAATTACATTACTTTCTTTCTTTGTTTCACATTACAAAATCTTTTTTTTTCTTTACACAAATCACATTTTATTGCAGGAATATTTCTAGTGCCATCAAATATTTATAGAAGGGTTAAAAAAATAGAAGTCTCTCTAGAGTGGTCCAGACAAGGCTTTGTATAGAATAAATCTTTTTTTCCATCTTCTAGTTTTGATTTATGTATTTTGAATACATTTTCTTTTCCATTGACACTTAGTAGCCTAGAAGCAGTCTAACACACGCATATCATACACATGAAAGCCACACACACACAGGCAGACACACTCTTTCCTCCCCTGACCCTCAGCCCACCCCCATCCACTCACAGAGATCTGGTACCCACTCGCTAAGGAACAACCAAACTTACAAGCAGTGTCTTAAGTCATGTTTTCCTTAGGTTAGGAAGGGTGAATCAGGATGTGAAAGACTTTGGGAAAAAATATCTATGAATTTAACACAAATTAGAATGCTGAATGCTTTTTAAAAAATCCATAGCCTTAGCACAATTTGTGATCTGTCCACAAAGTGCTTTCAACTGCACTTCGGATTTCACGGTGGCCAAGGCCAGTTTTTCCTGATGTTGGATCATTTGAGTATCGTAGTAACAACATTCAGATTTTGTGCAAAAACCTCATTTACGTTCTTTAAAAAAAGTTATCTGACGGTGTTCTAGCAGCTGAGCATGCAATACTGTTCAGTCCCCAGGAGATGTCGAGGCTTTAAGTTCAGGCAACTTTAATGCAATGAACTATTAAGCCTCGAGATTCTGTGTCACTGGCCACCTTGTGACACACCACACAAGTGGTTCTCACAATAAGGAATAAAAGAAAAATGCCAAAGGTTTTACATCCTGTTCTGGACTCCCTGTGACTCTCAACTTAGGTGCAAATCATAGTCAGTTGTCCCCTCAGTTTCTCAGAGCGCGTCCATCACTATGGCTCTGTCCCTATGATGTCACAGGATTTTGCTCTGAAAGCCTACTTCCTGCTTTTCTTTCAGGAACACCTGGAAACAGCATCACACCACTCTCCCCTGCTGTATTGTAAAAGCAATGTCACCACGGCATGGTACTGAGACTGGAGTATCTTGTGTTTGTTTTGCATCAGGTACACGCAGAATCCTTTCTGGGAAAATGAGTTTCTCTGAAGTTCAGTGTCACCTTCTCTCTCACCCTTAGAGAGGTTCAATCAGCTTGCCTTATTCACAGGTGGACACTGGAATTCGGTTTAGTTGCTCTTTAGTGCGATAGCACCTGAGGCTGGTCATATGCAGAAAGCTTTGGTTAAAAAGAAGTTAATATACTTTACCAAAACCATCCCCAAATTTAGTGAATCTGAACCAAAAAAGAAAGCAAAAAAAAAAAGAAAACCAAACCTCACACCATTCCCTCACACAGGAGAAACAACAGAAAAAAAGGGCAAATAAATAACAAAACTGTACTCTTTTCAGAATATAAATACTATTAATCTTTAAAGGAACTATGCTTAAATAAAATTTTGATTTACCCCTTCTTGCCCAATATAAATACTATATGCTGACAGCTAACCTCTCTATATAAACACATAAAATTTTCTATGCTTGTAAGAAATTTAAGTAAATATCTCTCTCCTGTTTATGGTAAAACCCTTACTGTGTTTCTGGGGAAAAAAAGATGTCATTTAGGCTTCACCCATACATTTCTGTACAAATATTTCCTTCCTACTTTCCAAGTCCCTCAGTAAATAAGGCAGAAAGTCAGTGAAGTTAAAAATTGGGAAGTGCTCTGGGAAGCTGGCCCTGGTAAACCATCCTATGGACATCAGTAGGAACAGAAATGCTGGCAAAAGATTCTAGAAGGACCCTAGTGGCAGAGGAGGTCATTGGATGTACAGGGTTTCATAGAAGTACCCACTTTGTACTGTGGAAGATGTTCCCTTTTCTTTACAGATACGGTCTTTGAGGCCAGACCAGTATCTTGTGACCAAAATCATCTTCCAAATGCCTCCCAATTTCTCAAAAGGGCACTTGTTTTAAAGGATTTATTGATTTTTTAAAAAAATGTCCAGTCTCTCTCACTGTGTGTGTGTGTGTGTGTGTGTGTGTGTGTGCTAACGCCCATGCCCACAGAGGCCAACAGGGAACAGTTGCCTGATCCGATTGCTGGGTTCCAAGCTTTGGTCCTCTGAGAGAACAATAAGCGCTCTTGACCACTAAGCCATCATCTCTCTAGCCTCAGGGCATTTGCTTTTAAAATACGCACACCTGCAAACATGAGAATGTTCCTTCCTCTGCCCATTGGGGATTATTTTTAAATGTAAATTTAATCAAAAATACCTCAATATTTCTTACCTGAACAAAAAGCCAAACTATCTTCTAAATATTTAAAAAAATAACTTACAGTCCACAGTTTTCTAGTGAAGATAAATACAGAAGAGAATGTTTGCAGCTGGGATCACCTTCGCTCTGAAGGCTTATTTTAAATATGGGAAACAGGTTCAACACTGCCTTCCTCCCTCTTCATCCCTTGTCCACCCAATATGGACAGCAGCATGTCTAGAATCTGGAACAGCTAGTCTAGGATTGGTTTTCTCTGAGATGAATTCTTAGGGCTCCTGATGCCAAGAACATAAGACATTCAATGACTGTGGGGAGTGTGTTTGCTCCACGTAGAGTCTTTGGATGCTTCTAAGTAAGAGCTACAGTCCAATAAACATTCTGGTTACTAATATGTTCTAAGCATCAGAATTCCAAGTTGATACTGTTTCCCTTTGACTACTGAATTATGTCAAATGAGAGTCTCTCCTCCTTCACTTCCCAAAGGTGGCAATTTAAAGACTTAAAAGAAAGAATGCAGATATGGTTTAAGCCCACAGCACCAGATACTCCTTCAACTCTGTATGAAGCATAAACACACCCATTCTGTTTTTTTTGTTTTTGTTTTTGTTTTTTTCCAAGACAGGGTTTCTCTGTGTAGTTTTGGAGCCTGTCCTGGAACTAGCTTTTGTAGACCAGGCTGGTCTCCAACTCACAGAGATCCACCTGCCTCCACCTTCCGAGTGCTGGGATTAAAGGCATGCACTACCACCGCCTGGCAACACACCCATTCTTAATTGCATGCAAAACAAAGCATGATTTAGGGAGCAATCTGTTAATTCCAAATTTACAGGTGGGAAAAGAAATTCAACATGTTGATTTCTGGATATGACCAGCCAGTCTTTTAAAAGTAATTTTTTTTTGTTTTTTGTTTTTTGTTTTGTAAACAGCAGCATAAATACCTCCCGACGTACCTTCCAAGCCTTCTCAGCTAAACTTGTGTTTCTGGTGTACATGCGACACGGCGACAGTGAACACGCTAGCATTTAAAGAAAACAAAAGGTGCAAAACGGAAAGTGCCTTATCAATTCAACAGGAAAAGCTACGCCAGTCACTACATTTTATATTAATTAAAACAATATATAAACAATATCTCTTTAGCTATATATAGTCTTCATGCCCATTTACCCTGTGTAATATATTATAATGCTATTGTTGCGAGCGCTATGGATCCCCTTTTCACGCCATCCCGCTGACCGGCAATAATCGGTGGGAGAAACAAAATCTTCCTTCATGACACAGAAAAGCAAGCTGTGCAAAGTAATGCTGCAACCCCCGCTATGCATACCGGGGTCACCGATTACTGCTGGACTCTGTTGTTACCCGTAAGAGTCTGAGGGCAGTGAGCTATAAGAAAAGGGACTCCTCTGACTGTAGTACCCTCCTCCTGTTATATGCAGAGGTCAACCGCTCTAGAAGTCGAGACAGAAAAGGGTCCATATCTGTAGGCATAGTGGAAATCATATGCATGAGCAAAACAAGTTTAGCTTTTATTGGTTCTCATTGTTTTCCCTCTGTGCCTGAACCCCGATCACCACAAGATGTCTGTGCAGTGTGTTGGCGCTCCAGGGCTGTGCAGGGCCATAGAAAGTGTCTCAGTTAATTTTGTCTTCGTTGTCATTGTTTTATTTCCTTTTTTTTTCATGTTTGTACTTCAGATGTTCTAGAAGTGCTCAGGTACTACATTTACCCATCGATTTGCATTGCTGGCTCAAATTCTGAAGTGAACAATTCCTTGTATAATGGAGGAAAATGGAGTCGCACAATGTCTGGATATATTGCTTTAAATGCCATTAGCTTTTCTGTATGTCGTCCACATAAGGCTCTTAACGTAGACACCTTGCATATTAGCTGTAAGCAGGAGAAAGGACAGTCAGGGGAGGGCAGTCATAAGAGTGAAAACCAAGGACTCAGGAAGACTTCCACAACATTGCTCACCATGGTGAAGACACATTTGCTGCTGCTTAAGCCTCCAGTGAGGGGGCAGGGAAGAGATAGATAAAGGTCCTATGTTAGAACACTTGGAATACAGCAAATGCATTTTGAATATGAATAACTTAACTCAAGGAGGTATTCATAAGCAAATTTGCCCCCCCCCTCCCATATTGCTAGAGCCCAGATGAGGTTCTGGGCTCTTCCCTAATCCAGAGTGTACCATCTGGAGCTCTCCTGGCTGCCTCAGTGGGAAAACCAGAAGTCTGCTGACAGAGAAGTAGGTGAGTGGCAGTCCTGGTTAGCAGGGGCACTACTGCTAGAGAGAAGAGTACCTATTATACGCTGTATGCAGGATGAGTGTGAGTCAATTTTTTTTTTTAATGGCATTTATCTCAATTCTGTGCATGTGCAAGCATGCTTATATGGTGTGTGTGTGTATGGGTAACTTCTGGGAGCCAGTTCTCTCCTTCCACCATGTAGGTCCTGGGGGGTGGGGGCCAAACCCAGATCATCTGATTAGTGTCTTGAGCCTCTTAGCCATTCACCAGACTACACGAGTAAATGCTATGGGCGATTTTCTTCTAGAGAAAGAGCTTTCTCTATACTAAAGCCACTCAGGGTCTCAGCGAATGAAAGTCTAGCAGATGAAGGTAACAGCAGTAGTGGCTTGCAGAGATGCTTGTAAACCCTACTGCACTAAAACAAAGTGTCTCATGGTTGCAGATTAGAGTCACTGTAGCTAGGAAATGGCTTTACCAGATCCTGTCTGGGTCAGGGCCTCTCTATAATGGCCTCATCCTTGAGCAGTTGGGATCTCCTTCTTGCTCATTGACAATGTACAAAATCAAAACCAATATCAATACTCCTAACTTCCCCCAAGCTATCAGGAAAACCAGAGAAGGAATCTGGAAGGAAACCCAAGCATCAAACGTTTCCCATCACCTTCTTGTACAATACAACACAGCAACTGAGCAAAGACTGGAAACGGATGCTTTTCTAACATCAGAAGCAACAGCACTGAGAGATCTATCATATGTTTTAGCTGTAAAAGACAATTAGCAAAAATGAAACCTCGTGCTTTTAATACAGCACACAAATAGGAAAGTGATAGAACACAGAAACAATGCATTGCTGATAACTAATGAATTTAAGAGAACCGGTATTAGAATATATGGTCATCTTCTTTTAGACCCTTTCTGCTTCCTCCTTCTAAATTCGAAGGTCCTCCTGCTTTACATCAGTGCTGCATGTTGACCTTACTTTATGCTTATGTTTTTATGTTTTAAGAACAGGAAGAGGCCGGGCGTTGGTGGCGCACGCCTTTAATCCCAGCACTCGGGAGGCAGAGGCAGGCGGACCTCTGTGAGTTCGAGACCAGCCTGGACTACCAAGTGAGTTCCAGGACAGCCTCCAAAGCCACAGAGAAACCCTGTCTCGAAAAACCAAAAAAACCAAAAACAACAACAGCAAAAAAAAAAAACAGGAAGAGGTTCCTGAAAGGGCTCGTTCTTTAAGGGGGGGAAAAAGTCTTCCCAGGGCTGGGATTAAGTGATTAAGAGCACATACTGCTCTTGCAGATGACCAGAGATCAGTTCCCAGTTCACAAGTTTGTCAGGTCACAGCTGCCTCTAACTTCAGTTCCAGGGAATCTGGTGCCCTCTTCTGGTCTCTCTGAGCACTTGCATGCACACCCCTTCCCCCCATACACATAATTAACATCCGATAAGTGATGTTTTCCAAGATTGCTGTATTACTGCAGGAAAGTCTGTGATCAATTATAATAAACAGAGTTTAACCTGAGTAAGTTTTGGCCCAACAGAATTTTCTGAGTGAGTGGCCCATGCCATACTGATACTTTCTGGGACTGGGCATGTGACTTAGAAAGACATTCGTAAGCAAGTTTTGTGCCCGAAGATAGTTCAGGTGGGGTCAGGAGAACCTCTCTGGACCTTACCTTTGTCAGAATTCCATCTTCTCGGTGGTTCTTCTGTAGAACGTGTTGAAGGGCTAGCTGGATTTTCTGTTGCAGTTTTTCTATTTTTACCTTTTCCTGCAGCCAGGAGCGATCTAAATGTGAAAAGCTGAGACTCAGTGCGGTTCCTTCAACACAGCATCAGACCCTTGTTCCTCCTGACCAGAGCATTGGTTACTGTGCTCTAATGTGTGTTTATGGACCCACAGGGTTCCCTCTTGGCAGCTTTGCTTCTGCAGGATGCAAAGACAATCTCTGATATCTCTCTCTCTCTCTCTCTCTCTCTCTCTCTCTCTCTCTCTCTCTCTCTCTCTCTCTCTCTCTCTCTCTCTCTCCCCCCCACTGGTCCTGGGAGGGAGGGAGGGTTCTTTTCCTCTACATTAGGGCTAAACTCAAAAGAATACATATGCACTCACAGTGCCCCACCCTCCCCAAGCTTTTTTGATAATTCTTTTGCAGGTACTATCCTACCTGTCCTGCTGGCCTTCCTGGAAATGTAAAATTGCTTTTTAATCCAGGGCAACTCAAACTTTTGTCAATAGAATTTCAAATGACTACAGGGTTGTTAATTTAGGAACATCTTTGTGTGAGAATTCCAAGTACAGGATTGTCAAGGGACAGACCTACCGGGAAAGTAGGTTGGAGGCAGATAGATTATGGATGGCAAGGCTGGCATCAAGAAGAGCAACCCTATTCTATGAAATCCTCTGTCTTGGTATGTGGAGTTAGTGCTGGCTAATGTTTTATCAAGCTATTACTTCTTACAATTTTTATCTGTGTATCATGAGGTCTCTCTCCTCCCCCTCTGTGTGTGTTTGTCCCTGTGTGTGCTTGAGAGAAGAATACACGTGCACATACATGTTTGTAGATTCCAGAGGAAGACATTAGGTGTCTTATTCTATTACTTTCCACTGTATTCCCTTGAGATAGAGCTTGGAGCTGGCAAGTAGCAAATGCCATCAGACCTCCAGCCACCTTCCTAGTGCTGAGATTACTCTTACTTGTGTGTGACTGCGCCCAACATTTTTTTTTAATGTGGGTGCCGAAATCTGAACTCAGGTCCTTATACTTGTGTAGCAAGTGCTCTTACCCACTGAGCCATCTCTTCAGTCCCATAAGGTCTTTAGAAAAGAGTTGTAAGTGTTTGTGTAGAGAGGGTATTCTTTGAGAAACTTTAAATAAGGGCGGCAGCTGCTCTTGGGAGCCCCTCAAATATTGGATAACATGTAAAAGTCCTGTGCCTTGTGAAAACATTCTTTACCTGGACATGTCGTAGACTTGTATTTTGTTTGGTTTTCTTACCTGCTGACATCAGTACAAATGCAGAAAATAATGCGATTTCATCTTCAGTCAGGTGCATAGAACACAAACTCTTTCCAAATTCAAACACAAAGCTAATGAAGTCTTCACAACCTATGATTAAAAAAAAGGAAGTTTAGGGTGTCAGTGGTTATCCTAGGAGAGGAATATAGAACAAGGTGAAGGGAGATGTGGATGCTGGAGATGAGACAGGATAGTAGGAGCATTTCTCAGGTGAGTAGTCTGAAGTATTAAAAGAGAAATTGGCTTAGCCAACATCACCATCACTAGTACCATCTCCTTGTACCATTAGCATTGTGAACATCATCACAAAGCGTTATCACCACTATCATCATGCTGCTATCATCAGTAGTATCCTAGCCACCACCATCTGCTTCACATAAGAAGCCCCCACTCCCCATCATCATCTACAGTAAGGAGAGAGAACATCTTTCCTGTGATTCCCAGGCAGATATCTACTTGAACAACATTCTTAGTGTTTTCTCAGGTTTCAAAACAGCCCTGTGAGGGGCATGTTACCATTAGCATTCCCATTTTAGGGCTCAGGAAACAGGGACTTAACAGAGATAGTGTACCCATGGTCACAACCTGACATTCAAAGCCAGGTTGTCTGACTTTAGAACCCTCGGTTTGAATGAACAGGGTCTAATGGGCACTGGCTAACTGCAATGCCCTATAGGCTACGATACTCAGTTCCATGCTGGTAGTGTAGTTATTGGACTATTCATCAAATTCAAAACAAAGTGAAAGTCCACTAAAACAACAATTCAACTCACCTACAATGAGTTAAGTTTGCTTTTGTTGTATTAGTTTTGTCAATTGGTTACTTTCTGTAAGTGGCAATGGGCTATGCTGCACTTAGATAAGCCTCCTGTCACTCATGGTTAAAATAGGTATGGCACGCTAACTGATTTCGCCACTGGAACACTCATCATGATTAAAATAAGCCATTCAACATATCTTGGGTTCCCTTTGTTTCTCCTTAATGGCAACATTCTGATTATTGAAATTATAGAAACTCAAAAGGACTTATTTATAATGCATATGTCATTGTTTTCTTTGGATCTATTGGACTTTTCCATGTTTCCATTTCCTTTTTGTAAATGGTTACAGTATGAGAGGCCAGGGATGCTAGGCTTTTCCATTTTTGCTTCATTTCACATGTGAGTTGTATTATTTCCATTATTTAAACACTTTAGAAAATCTCATTTATTTGAACTCGGAAGGTGAACAGAAAAGTCATGTAATAACTCACTCAATGACCAACCTACAAAGAGTTTACATGTGATGTAGACAATAACTTACTCAATGACTAACCTACAAGTGAACTTGAGTTTGCATATGATGTAGACAAAAGTACTTGCTGTTTTATAGCAAATAGCTACACATAGTAAGATAGGTGTATCACCATTTAATTTGGGCTCCAAACTAATTTGGGTTTGTTCATTTTGTGGAACAAGAGCTACCATTCAGCCACATCCTTGAACATGACCCCCATTTACAGAGATAACAGCGTGAGACTTCCTTACCTAAGGATTTGAAGACATCAGGGCTGGCATACTTCCCATCAAAGTACACGGTATTGTTCTGAGAGTCAAAGGCACGGCACATCCTGATAAACACCACCTCCAGAGAGCCTGCGCAGGGAAGAATTGCTTAGCATTATTTCACCGATCTTAATTCCTTTCTGAGGTGATAATACAGAGGCCTTCCTGAGAGGGCACAGTGGCCGAGTGCAGGGCACCTAGTGTTATCAGTCACAGCAGGCCTCTGTCCAAGGGGCAGAAGACTGGCTCACATCTCAGCGTAAAGCTTTAGAGCAGCTTGGGAAACATTATTCAGATTTATTTAAACAATCACCATAGGAATGACTCTTTGAGCTCATAAATGTCTTCCCAACAGCTCTGCATTAGAGCCTGAAGGTGATGGTAAGATTTGGGATGCAAATATTCCCAAGCATAACCTTCCTCCTAGAGGAATAAGAAAATGGAGGGAATGCTTCCTGAACATCTTTTAAAAAAATACATATATATATATATATACACACACACACACACACACACACAAATAGCTTGATATGCATGGGTGTTTTGGTTCCATGTATATACGTGTACCATGTACATGCCTGGTATCTGTGGAGGTCAGAAGATATTAGATTCCTTGGAATTGTAGTTATGGATGGTGGTGAGCCTCCATGTGAGTACTGGGAATTGAACCTAGGTCCTCTGCAAGAGCAGCCAGTGCTCTTAACCACTGAGCCGTCTCTCCAGTCCCGCTGAACATATCTTTAAAATGTTTTTATAAAAAGGGTTCAGTTTCTGCGAAGCAAACCCTGAGCTATTGTCACTGAGAAAACGGCTTCAACACCTCCCTTAGCAAGCGTTTCTTTAACAAGCGGGTGAAAACAGCTGGAAGCGACATCAGGATTCACTTGCAGAGCACATACCTGCTTTTAGAAGCACAATTTGATCATTTTGACACAGCTCCATAAATCCATCAATGCGTTTGGCAAACTCCACCACATACTGGATAGCTTCTGTAATCTTGATGGCACACAGCTGCCACATCACCTCTCTCTGCTGTGAAAGAGGGAGGCGCATTAACATAAGACTAGCTGGGAACCCTAGTGCAGCTAGCTTCGCGCTTCCTAGTTTGTAAAAAGCTTTCTTTGGAAATGGGTTAAAAAAAGATTATAGGATTAAAAAAATAGTCTCTGTTATTTAGGTTACGAAAGCCTGCTTCTGCATCCTTTCTGCCTCCCAAGATCCCTTGCTTACTGTTTGAAGGCAATTGAATGGGGGTGGTGAAGTTGGGGGTTAGAAAGTCAGGCGTATTTTGAACATATGGGCCAACAGCTAAATACAAGTCAGGAAGGCAGTCTACATGACTGTTGGACCTGTGCGCTCCACAGTACGTGGAGGATCTGTTTTTTTTTTTTTTAAGCAGTTCATTTATTTTAGGGAGTTCACCCATACTTTACTGGGTGTGGAGGGAAGGAAAAGGGTGTCAAGTACATTTTATTTTGTCTGTACCTGCCGAGCTAGATGTTTGATAACATCTTTGTTTCATACATTTATATGATTTGTATAATTGTATAATTGTCTCCTACTCAGAAATGACATCAAAACTCTTGAGGCTTCCCAGCCAATAGGCATAAGTGGAGCTGAGGCGGAAGCCCTATTTCACAAGGCTTGCTGGCTCTCCTTTGAGGCGTGGGTGCTGGGGGTGGCTGTGTACTCAGAGGCAGCCCAAGTGAGCTAGCTGTTGCTCTTCCCACCCTCCCACTCAGCACAGTGCCCTGGAGTGTCTGCTTTGCTCATCTGCTCTCCCGCTACACCGTGGGCTTTAAAGTTGCTTCTAACAGTAATGGGGAACAAACCCTGGAGTTGAGTTGCATGGGGGACATGGTCCTGATGCTCTCAATGTGCAGCCATAGGCAAGGTATGATGGTTTTCTCCTCAGTGCCAGTGAAGGGGAGGATATACCACCATCATCTCCGTGGTCCTTTCCCAGCCCGACTTTCTACCATCACTGGCAAGAGCCACCACATCTCTTCCCAGAGGCAAAATGGATAATTACCATTACCTTACCTTCAGCTTCCCCGTCCACTTTAGTGGCCGTTGGCCAGTGTCATAGAGATAAAAGCATATAGGGTCACCACCTGGCAGGCTCATCTTTGGTCCTGAACAGTTACAGCCTCATTATTCTCCTTTTTAAATTTTTATTTAAAAAAAATTGTGTGTGTGTGTGTGTGTGTGTGTGTGTGTGCACGCACACTTGTGTGCTCGCACACGATGAAGTTGGAGTTAACAGGTGAGCTACCTAATGTGGGTCTTGGGAATCCAATCCAGATCTTCTGGAAGAGTAGCAAGTGCCGTTAGCCACTGAACCATCTCTCCAGCATCCCAAGCCCTGCCCTTGTCCACAATCCCTAACCAACTCCGTGCTAACCTAGAAGCACACAGCATGGCGCTGACTATTTTCACCAGTTCTTAGACCTCAAAATGTTCTGTGGCGTCAGGATAAATCCTGGCTCATGGAGACTAGCTTTTGGAAGCTGCCTGATGTAGTCTCCCGCTGGCAGACAGAGGGACTTATAAAACACAATGTGTTCCAGCCGAACTGTCATCCACTAGCATCTGAGCCTGGGATCAGCAAGGGTCCTTAAGCAGAGATTAGGGATTTGGTGCAAGGCAGTCTGCTTTCGGGCTGTTTGCACTCTCGAATGAGTGCTTTCCTCGAAGCCCCTTCTCAGTGTTGCCTCAAAGGGAAGAGAAACTCCTCCCACTCTACCTTGTTCTGGTAGTTCTCAATTTCCTCCTGCAGGAAGGTCTGCCATGTTATCTGCTGGAGTTCTTCCCGCAAGTACTGGCAGGTTTCCAGGTGGGATTTGGATATGTTCTGCGCAAGGTGTTCTGGGGAGAAAATGAGAGGTCACAACCATGAACAGGAACCAGTAACTCATGTCATTTGCCTTAAGAAGGAACTCCTGTAAAGCAGTGTGCCGACAAGTTTTGTTCCTTTGTAAGCAACCTGGAGCTCTTCTGTATTTGGACCCAGCGGGACGGAGGAGGAAGGCTTTGCAAAGCCAACACTGACCCCGTGAAGTCTCTTGGAATCAGAGACCTTGATGACCTTGACCTTGTCATAGGCTTTCTACCAGTATCTGGAGATGAACAGAGATTGATTGCCATAGGTAGGGAGGAAAATGATTGACAGTTGCTTCCTGACATTTTATGACAGCCTAACAAAAGTGGCTCTTGAAAAGCCAGGATATTATGTAAGTGTGTATGCTTATATGTTAAACTTTTATTTTTGCATGTGTGCACATGTTTTGAGTGTCTTCCTTAATTGCTCTCCTCACTCTCTTCCTTCCCAGTGCTGTGCTCAGGGATGGAACTCAGGTCTTCATGCCAAAATGGCAAGCACTTTATTGACTGAACATGTCCCCAGCTTTAATGGTGACAACTGGCCATTACCTTTGATTTTCTAGCAAACATCGGGACAAGCATTGCTGAGGCACACCAACAGATTATGTGTTAGTTTGATGACAAGAGAGACTCTGGACTGAGACTGTCTGGGTCCACATCTTTGCCTTGCTACTTCTGGGATGTGTGGCAAGTTATTTTAGCCTCCCTGTAGTTTGCTTTCCTCCTTGGTAAAATGAGGAAAACAGCACTTGTGAGAATGGACTGAATCACAGTTAGAACAAGGAGCACCACACACTGATGCTGTGTAGTTGTTGTATTCTGTGTGGTGCTTGGTATCTTGGGACCTAGAAAGACTGGAACAGGAGGACCAGGCAGACAGTTGCTAAAATCTAGATAGGAGAGATGGTGTGTGAAACAGACAGCAATCAATGTTAGGGGAATAAAAGATGACTCAAATGTTTAAAAAACTGGATATGATAGTACATGTCTGTAACTTGAATTTTGGGGTGGAGGCAGGAGTATGGCCATATATTTGAGGCTAGCCTGCTCTACATAGAAGGTTCTAGGCTAGCATGTCTACATAGCAAGGCCCAGCCCAGAAAAATGAATTGGAAAGAATTGACAGGAGCTTATGAACATCAAATACTGAGAGATAACCACATTCCCAGGATCTTAAGTCCAGGGCAGGTAAGGCACTGAGGATGACAAAGAATGGAAGGCCGGTGACAACAGAGCCTGTTTGCTTACAAACATGCTGTGGCAGCCTTTAGACAGGAGACGTGTTTGTGTGAAAACAGCAAGTGCACCTAAATGCAATCCGAAACCAGAGTCTCCTTGGAGACGAAAATATAATAAACCCTAACAGCCCTGTCTGGCAACACACAGGTACCAGAGCAGCCTGGATAAGTACTACTAAAAAAATCAAATATAAACAAAGAAAGCACTTCAAGGAGGCAGACCTGAGGAGAAGCAGAGAAGCCAGCTCATTAAAAGAATGGGTGTTGGAAAGCCGAAAATTAATGCTCAGATAAAAAGCTCTTGCTATGGACGACAGTGTCTAGACCATAAACCAAGATGAACATATTTTTTAAAGCGAGGCTCAGGAGGTCCTACAGGGCTCACACTCCACTTTCCCTTATATCTTTCCAGCTATTATGGTCAACACTTGTTTCAGGCAGCCTTAACAAATGCTGCTGAGAACCGGGTATGCCTGTAATCCTTGGGAGGCTAAGACAGAAAGATTGCCATGAGTTCAAGCCCATGTCTCAAATTTTATCCAGGGCTGAGGACATGGCTCAGAGGCAGAGTGCTTGCTTGTCAAGCTCACAACCCTATGTTTGATCCCCAGCATTTGCAAAATGGTTCATGGACACCTAAACCTAGGTGGGACTTTCACAACAGCCAATAGGAAGAGACAACGACTAATGCAGTACACACAGTGGGCCAGCAGGGGGCAGCAGCTACATTCCAACCAACTGTTCAGGCACGGTTTCTGATGCCAGTTCATAAAATATATATGACAAGGCTAATATTTTTAAGACCCATCACAATTTCTAAATGTCCCTTTCAGCAAAGGAGAGTTTAACGAGATCACATAAAATCTAAGACGTCAGTGTGGCTCTCAGACCAGGTAGGGGACAGTGAGGTCTGTTTAACCTCGGAGTTAGGAGACAAGCTTTCTGGGCCAAGCTCATCAGGTGAGTTATTTTCCTTGCTTTGTGACACAAGTGAACCACCGCAGCACTGTGAGGCTGCCTGGTGCGCTCCACCCACTGCCCTTGGGTAGCACGTGGATATGGATAGCTATGGATGCAGCCCAAAGCAAAGTGGTAGGCTTACTTCAAAACAAAACATAACGGCAAGAAAATCTCCATTTTTAACCTGTGTTAGGTTGTGTGCGTTACGACATCTAAACTTCTCACAGGGAAGTCCTGACTGCCGAGACTTTTCTCTCAGACTTTCAGGGTTGGATAGAACTCTAGACATCATCTGGGCTGATTTTTTTATAGATACATCAATAATTAAAATTTACACAGCACTTGCTGTGGGCAGTCCCAAAGGGGTTACAACCTTTTAAAATATATTTGTGTGTATATGTACATATATATACATACATACACACACATATATATGCAGACATATATTATATATACATATTATATATATATGCAGAAGATGGAGGAAGGTGACAGTACTGTCCTCATTTCTTTGGCTAGGCACCTGAGCCACTGTGGTTAAGTAACTTTCCCAGAGTGTTACAGTTGTTCAGGGGCAGAGCTCTGATGCAGACATCATCTGGCTTAAGAGTTTGTGCTAACCTTTATACACATGTGAATACACAGGATGGATAGTTGCTGCTTGTGGCCCATGTGGCTCAGCGTGGGTTGTGCAACCAACAGTAAAGCTGGGACCACAACCCACATAAGCTGACTTCTTGTCTCCCTGTATCTACTTCGTCAGCCACCTCTTGCAACAAGGCACTAACAGTTACTGTAGCAAACCCAGTTATCACTTTTCATAAAACAAACCTTGGTTGGTTATCTGGAATGTATGATTCAGGCACTAATTGAATGCCAAGGGTAAGATTTCCTAGCCAAGGATGAAGGCCCGTTCTGCTCAAAATACCATAGGTATAATTCTTGAAAGACGGGGCTGGCTAGTAGGCAGTGTAATTTGTTTAAATTCTGATGACAAAATTTAGCCTACGAGGAGGTCAGGAGTTTTTGTTAGAAAGGATCACAGGCTGTGAGGTTTCCTTCACAGCCTATGAGGTAGCTTTGAAGAGAGGTCATCCAGTCTTTGCCATTTTTATGCCACGTTTAACTCCCTTGAACTACCCTGCCATACAGATGTGAGAGGAAATATCCTCTCTGGGAGAATTCTAATTTGGTTTTGAGTTTGGTTCTATTTGAGTCCATTCATCCTGGAAAATGTTATAACCCATGACTCGCAGACACACCGGGAGGTGACCAGTGTAGGTCTGTCTGTCCAGAGACTTGAAGGCACCAGCTCAGCCTTTTTTAGCTCCATTCAGGTATTTGTGCACTTTTAGCCAAAATACCACATGCACAGGTAACACTTTGATTTTGGTCCTTTGGATCTGTTTCGGTTGAATATCTGGCAGGCAAACAGGCAGGTTCACTGTCCCTGTGGTGGAGGGGCAGCAGGCCTGGGGTGAGTCGGGTCACGTTGTGTGGGAACTGACTTTCAATCAAACCCTTTTATTCATTTTGAAAATTTTAATTTTCATTACAGTTTTGCTACAGCCGACCAAGATTCAATGACCAAAAAAAAAAAAAAAAAAAAAGTTTTTTGTTCTAGTTTAGGGGAAAGAAATTTAAAAAAAAAAAAGAAACCTACCTCTGCTCAGCATGACTTCTAGTTCAGAGGTGTCTCTGCTAATCAAAAGAGCGGCGGTGCACCTCTGGTTCTGCGCAGTGGTTAAAGGGAGCCTGAACATGCCCAGCTCCCGGGGATTTAAATTTAGATCCATAAAGAGATGCTTGTGTAAAAACTGTAAAGAACGTTCAAGTTGTTCTATTTGGAGATTTCTGACTGGAAATATAAATTTTTCACTTAAAAGGGACGTTTTATGGGGTACAGAGGTGGAGGCGGCGTCTAAAGAACACGGCCTTTATGGCTGCGAGTGAGGGTTTCTGTGCTCAAGTCAGACCTGCTGGTTCTTTACCGCCCCAGGTCCTTGTCGTAGTTCACTGGGCTCGGCAGCAGCTAATTGAAATACCCCAAAGGACTGCAATAACCCCAGGTGCAGAAGCACCAGGAACAGCAGATCATTCGAAAACGGTAAAGGCTCCAATCAAAGCTTTTCTAATAATAGCCTTGTGTTTAAAAAAAATTGATTAAATATAGCAGAGGGTGTTAGCATAACACGCACGAAGGGAAGATTTCCACTGTCTGTGCCATCGGTGTTTCTGGGTCATCACCTCCCAAGAAGCAAACAATAACTTTGTGTTATCTTGACAAAGTGAGCCCTGTATGAAATCTTATCAGTTTAGTCACCAGTGACCATCTTCAAAACATTTTGGCAAGTTCAGAGGTAAGTTACCTCAGGCATTTATGTTCCCACCAGTGCAGCAAAGCTTGGTTACCCAAGGGCCCACCAGATGGTCATCCCCCAACTGGTAGCAGTTGGTTACTGGAGTTCACAGATATTGGTCCATTGTGACTTAAAAAAAATTAAGTCTCGACAGGCGGTGGTGGCGCATGCCTTTAATCCAGCACTCGGGAGGCAGAGACAGGCGGATCTCTGTGAGTTCGAGGCCGGGCTGGACCGACAGCCTCCAAAACACTACAGAGAAACCCTGTCTCATAAAACCCCCCCCAAAAAAATTAAGTCTCCAAAAAAGAGCTGATAAGCCAGTTTTTATTGTAAGTGTTCAAGTTGAGCACGGAGACTGTAGTAGAGAGAATGGTCAGCAGACACAAGGCATAGTTGGAATCATAAGCGCGAACTGGGGTGTGCTGCTCCAGAGTAGGGTGGCTCAGATAACGGTCATGTGGATTTCCCTTTGAAAAAGTTCGAAAAGAGCATTCTCAATGCTCACTGTAAATCAGTGCTAAGTGTCCCAAGTGACAGTGCAAATGCCCTTAGTTGATTATTATACCATGTGTCCATGTATTGAAATGTCACACTGTCATTCATAGTTGTTATATGGCAATTAAAACTGTAAAATTTTTAGCAACCGATTTAAAATCACAAAGCTATACCTATGGCTCAGATTTGGTTAGTGGACTTTGTGCATGTGTACGACCTTAGGCATAAAGCAACACCTGCAGTCTAAGTGAACAGCTGGTCTGTCTGAGCAGCCTTCCCTTGTGCTCACGTGCTCTGTGGGATACAGGCTGCTTACATACAGCCTGTCTAGTTCCTGAGCAATGCATTTACTGCAAACACCACAGCAACAATCAAACAGCAAGGCTGGCAGCAAAGGTGGAGGGGAAACCCCATCCATCAGAAGACAGTCCCTTGTACCCCTTTACTTCACAGGCAGGCCCAGAACAAGCCAGAGACAGCATGCACACCCGCTATTACCTAGTTCTGCCATGGATACGGTTGGGGAAGTCTCTCCGTTGGTAAAGGAGCAGTAGGGGAAGAAGCCAGATGCTGGTGTGTAGTCACATATGGGTTCAGGTTTGATCCCATTGATGTCCAGTCCCGACTGGTCCGGAGAGGGCTGGATGTCCAGGTAGAAGCTGCTGACGGCAGAGTCGGCCTTGCTGCCCTCAGGGGTGTGCCCATCCATGTAGGTGCTGAGGTCATCGTGCAGTTCCGTCAGCCCATTGGCTGAGATGTTGTAGGTGGGCGTCAGCGGCTCAGCCTCCCCAGGCTGTTGCTGGTGGTCTCGCTGTTGCTGCTGCATCCGGTGTTTCTGCACCTCGGCATATAAGCTGTCTCTCTGCTTCTTGGACATCCGGCCAAACTTGACAGCTGGAAGAGAGAAAGCAAAGTACACCTTGAACCAGGCAGTGTTACCCTTTCCCAAGCTTCCAGGCTTCCAGAAAATTTCAGAGCACATCAACACAAAAGCAGGTGGCCCACAAGCAAGAACAGGTTCCCTCATGTGCCCCCAACATACACCCCAGGTAACCTTCCCATTGATTTCTGCAGTCTTATCCCTTTAGACTCACTGAAGATATAATGTTTTGTTTCGTTCCCCGGCCCCTGTTTTGAGACAGAGTCTCACTGAGGAGCCCATACTGGCCTTGAACTGCTGATTATCCTGCCTCAGCCTCCTTAGTGTTGGGATTACAGGCACACTCCACCAAGTCTGGTTCTGAGGTATAGTGTAATGGGTTTGTTCATTCTCTACTACATGGTCTGGCCTAGACCTGCCCCTTACTTTGCAGTATTTGGATAGACAGACAGACGGATGCAAAGACTCATGGGACATCTGAGGTAAACGCCTAATCCTTTACTAAGTCCACAAGAGCGGAGTTCTTCATGGTTGACCAGATGGATCTGGAACTTTATGGTGAGGCTGTCTAGAGTTTGCAGACTTGTGTGTCTGAATCTGCCTGATTTATGAGGCATCCTGGCAGTCATGGGCTTATCTTTATTTTACTTTTGGGGACGGGGTCATTTCACTGTGTTACCCAGGTTGGCCCTGAACTCCCAGGTGCAAGGGGCCATTCTTTCTGCCTCCCAAGTACCTAAGGCCCACAGCCCTGGGTATGAACTGGATCCATCATTATGTGATACCTCGCTCTGCAATCATTTAGTGAAAAGAACACCGGAGGGCAAGCCTTGTAAGCTCCCCTGAGAAGGGGCTGTGTCTGCAGCACTTCTCCTCAGGACTGGTCCTCGCATGGAAAGGTGGCAGGGTTGCAGCGGCTTGCCAGTTCACTATCTCAGGCTTTCCTCCTGAAATACTCATCTGGATCACAGGAAATCTTTTCCTGGTTTGAATTCTCCCATGAAGGTTCTTTCCCCTCCCTGCTAGGCCCTCTACACAGGTAGCCTCAGCTGGAGGGACGTGGTTCTCCTAACTGACTGTAGTTAAATTGATTCCTGATTGGGGGGATGAACTCATTTATTCCACCATTGTCAGAGTGACATGAGGGACAGAGGGCAGGGGAGATGAAGATGAAGTTGGGAGCTGCGAGCCTACTTCACTGAGCAGCTGGTGGACTCTTCTCACCAGAGGAGGAGGTCCTGTCCCTTCTACAGAGCGACAGAGTAGAGTAGCAGCAACCTCGGTGCATCCATGGCTCAGATGGGGCTGGATGCCAAGCAGGCATTTAATTTTAAAAAGCTCTGAATATATTTTCTTCCTCACAACAACATATACTGTTTTATGTATATACACAGGAAGCCTTCCTGAAGGCATTTAATTTGGGGAGAGGCAAAGAATATTTTGGAACACCCCCTGGATAAAGCTTGTTCGACTCTGTGTAATTATGCTTTGACTTTTGTTTTAATAAAATGGCAGTTATATCCAGTGAGAGGGTCATAAGAAGGACCAGCACTCAGTTTTAGCTTACAGGCTGATGAGAGGCATAGTCAACTGCCACTTTCACACTGTAGGAAGACAAGCTTAACATGGGTCTGAGACTCCTGTCTCCTATTGGCAAAAGGTTGGCCTTTCTAGTAGTGCAGAGAGACTCGCAGGATATGCAGTGAACATGAATTTGAGCCTGGGTGGCTCCATGGGGGTCCTAAGAGTTTAGCTGGTGGAGGGAAGCACAGGCTGACACTCCACCCAAGGAGATCCCCGGAGACAGACAGCTAGTGTACTTGGAAAAGTCCTTAAAGTGGAGCTGCTGCACTTCCTGCCCAGTTCTCTGCGGAACTGTCTCGGATCCTGGCGTTGGTCTTTTGTGCACTTAAGATAGTTTCAGGAAGATCTGAACTGCTCTGTGATTGGACAGTGGCCCATTTCTGGCCCTGATGCCGTCTCTTACTGAAGAAGGACATTCACCACTGAGCCTTGCTTTGCACTACTTTCACATGTTCGGGAGGCGCACATGTTTGACGTTGGCAGGCGATTCAGATGACCCAGTTACCATAAGAACTATTTCCTGCCAAATGCCAGTGGACTTACCGGCGTTACGCTTACCTAATTTGTCCTAGCTTGGGTTTCCTGCGGGAGGCTCGTTTAACGAAAGCCCTCAGAAGAGACATACCTGTAGTTTCTGAAATGGTGGCAACCTGAAGGTATTCTGACTACTAGACACTTGTCTACCCCCATGAGCTAGTCGGCCGACTCCAGGAGATCAGGGATAAAGGAAGTGCTATGGATTGCAGAAAGCTGCCAGAGGGATCTGGGAAGGCTGAGAGGGTGTCCCCTGATGGAGCAGTGCCCCTGTTTCAGGAGTACTTGCTTGCCCGGCCTCAGGCGTTGGCCCACTCCAGCGCGAGAGGCTCACCGTCACGAGACATCCCCACGGCAAGGCATTTCTGCAGTCGACAGTGCTGGCAGCGGTTTCTGCTGGTTCGGTCGATCAAACAGTTCTTCTGACGGGGACAGGAGTAGGTGGCATTGCTCTGCTGACTTCTCCTGAAAAAGCCCTGTGATTCAGTTATAAATACGGAACAGGTTAGTGTCCGTTCCAGCGGTGATACCAAAGGCCGTGGACTAAGCACTGAGCACCACTCAATTAATATTTAATGGAGGGCTAAGCTTGGAGCAGAATTGTCCAGGAGATCATTAATGAAATTAAAGTCACTTCTTTTTCCATGAGTAAAATTAACCCCCAGAGCCTAATCCTCTATCCCTTACACATGCAAAACTTCCTTTAACTTCCACCCAGTTGACTGTGTAAATGACACATGATCTGGCTGATCAAACAAAGCAGCGTGCTTGCTGGAATGGCACCAAAGGATTTGCCTGTAACCTGTATCTCTAAAACACCCTTTTTAAGTGCACGTATAGAGGCGTGCGCACAAGCGTGTGTGCTGTGGAGGACAGAGGAGGGCATCAGGCGTCCTCACTCTCTACCTTGTTCGTTGACACAGGGTCTCACTGTACCTGGGAATAGACTGTCATTCAAGCCCCGATGCTCCTCCCATCTCTGTCTCCCACAGTGCCGGGGTGTCAGGTGCCCATGGTTGTGCCTGGCTGTGTGTGGGTGCTGGGGACTCAATTTAGGTCCCCACGCTTGTGCAGCAAGCGCTCTAACCCACGAAGTCACCTATCTCTCCAGCCTCTGAAGCACCTTTTGGTAAAATAAACATGTCTCCAGGCTGTCCACAGTTAAGGGAAACATGGTTACACTCAGCTTGTTGCAGTCTGGGTGTGCCGTGGTATGCTGTGGCGTTTTCTCTCTGCTCCTCAAGTCTGTGACTGTTTAGACATCTCTCACTCCCTAAGTCTGAACCTGTTGGTGCAGGTTAGATAGCACTTGGACAGACTACTTTAAAGATCAGTTGCACTGGGAATTCTCCATCCTAAATGGTTGAGAATCAGCAGTTTAGAATCATGGCCTTTAGGCTTTGACAGGTCTGGCGTGCTAATCATTAGCTTTCTCATTTGTGTTGAATGCTGTGTTGGAAATGAGAGGGTATGCAAAGACACGAGGGAGCTACTGACCCCGAGGATGCACTTTTGCTTGCGTATTTATTAGCTCCCAGATTTTCAGTATCGGGCTGAAATGTGCAAGCTTTTCTTTAGTGATTATTAGCAGGAACCCACAAGCTCCCCACAGGTGCAGTATTTTCACTGTCACTTACTTGAAAATGTGTTCTAATCTGCCACAGATTTCTTATGCAACACACGCGCTACTTAGAAGCATATTTCTTCACTTCCAAATACATAGAGGCACTGAGGACAAATGTATACACACACATATAGGCATGTACGTATATATCTATATATAGATATCCATACACACAGAGACATATATTTTTTTCAATGGCATTGCAAGCTGGGCAAAAGAAAAGCACCCAAAAGAAAAGTAAGGTAAGGCATTGTTGTTGTGAAGCAGGGCCACAAAGGGTATAAGAGAAAGAATGGTCATTTTCAGAGCTTTCTTTAATGATAAAGACAGATGACTCCAACCAAGGGGACATTGGCAGGGTGGGGAGTAAAGGGAGGATGGTCAACGTAATGTCAAAGTAGTGATTAATGCTTCAGCCAACAGATTTTTCCAGAAGCCAATATGTCTACTGTATTAGGATTGTTATGGATAGAAACAAAATGTGCTTGTCCTGTAAGTCAGGAATCTTTTTTTTTTTTTTTTTGTTCAAGACAGGGTTCTTTTGTATTGCTTCAGAGCCTGTCCTGGAACTCACTCTGTAGACCAGCCTGGCCTCACAGAGATCCTCCTGCGCCTCCTGAGTGCTGGGATTAAAGGCGTGTGCCACCAACACTGGGCAAGCAGGAATCTTTTAAGGAATAAGCATTAAAGGAACAACAGAAAAATGGTACAAAGATTCATCCAGAAGAAAGCTCTTGAGAGCACTAGATTCCCAAAGTGACTGACGACTTCTAGTACACACTCACCCAATGGAGTTGGGCAGCCACTGAAAGATCATGTTTCAGATATATTATTAATATAGAAAGGTGATAAAATGGGCTAAAGAACTGAGCCCAGGGCAATCCAGTTTGCAAGTGAGAGGGCATCATATTTGATGAAGAAGAAATAGAGGAAAATTATACCTCCAAACGAAAAGGATTTCTGGTTTTGTCTATTAGGCCCATGAGACACTCTGTCTTTCTCTTTGCTTTCTGATTATTTCTCTATAGGTGGCAGGCATATGAGACATTCAGAATCCACTGCCATGGGTCTCATGTGCTGCTTTGGTGATGACTGGGGTCTGTGTGAGCCAGGTCATAGAAGCTAGATGCATGTGAGCTCAGCTCTTTTAACCTGCCTTGTAGCAAGGACAGTTCTTTTGGAAAGCAGTCTCTTGCCAAAATATTTAAAGTCCTGCGTGTGTATGTGCATGTGTGTGTGGTCTTTGGTAAAAAGGGAATGAGACAAAAGGTTTCTTAGAATTTACTGGAAAGAAATCAAGAAAAAATATTTTAAAACATACCAAGAAGTCACCTACATGGGTGTTCATTTCAGTCTGTGTCTGAGTTGAGTGTTTATCGATTTCCTGAGACACAGCCACTGATCACCCCCTCTGTTTCTTTTCACGGGAATCTTAAAAAGGGTTTTTATTTCATTTGTGTGAAGGATAAAGGTACTGAAGCCTCTCGAGATGGGGTGACTTGCTTAAAATCCCACCTCCAGCATGACAGGAAACAGGTCAAGGATTCTTGTCCCTTTTGTTTCCCCACTTGCACAATTTGTCAAAAGAACCTCCCCGCAAACCACTCTCACAGAGGCCCACCAAGTGTCCAAAGTCAAGGCATGTACCGGTAAAGTAGCAGGACCCATCCCATGGACTCTGAAGTTAACATTTTCCTTTAGATTTGTTCCTTCAGTTGGCCCAGGCTGCCACTGCCCAGGCATCTTATCAAATCATGGTCTACACCTGCAGCTGAGGTGGGGTAGGAGTCACACGAGGAATCCACCTCTGAAACCCATCATCCCTTCCCTTTCTGCCCAGAAGTAGCATGTCTCCTGTTCATCTCCCCTACCTCACGCATATGGTGATCACTTGGGCCCATTCATAGAGTGGATGGCAATGATACTCCAGGCAAGGTCTCAGAGTCACCCTCATTGAGGACATCTGAGGAAATCGGACCATGAATTGCAAGGACAGTAGTCGATGTATCTAGGGTTGGAGGAGTGGAACCGATCCTGGAGCTCACGACTGCCTTTCAAGCTGTCTGCTCATTGTGGCAGTTGTGAAGGTATAAGCAGGCCAGCCAGCACACACACCTTCCATTTACTCTTACCTCCCGTTTACTCTTGGTTGAGTTCATCAAACACGCCTGCTCAGCGGCTGGGACAGGACAGAGCTGAGAACCAGGAAGAGGCCATTCTCTTTCCCATCCTCAAGAACACATATCCTCTTCCCTTAGGGAGGGATCCAGTGCAGCTTTCTAGGGAGAGGCTGAGGAGGCTGCCCTGACTCGGCCAAACTGAACTTCACAGTTTCAGAAAGAGTGAGGCCTTGCCCTTCTCCTGTGTGTGTTGCTCATTGGGATTTTTGTTTCTTGTTTTTTGAGACTGGGTCTCTCATTGGAACCTAGCCCAGGATGGCTGATCATCAGCCCTGAGTACCTGTCCCCCCCCCCCCCCAGTCTCCATGGGGATTTCAAGTGCATGCATACAATCACACCTGGCTTTTAACATGGGATTGAACTCAGATCTTCGTGTTTACATGGCAAATGCTTCACCAAGCTATCTCCTTAGCCCTTGCCTTCTTTAAAAAACAAAAACAAAACCACTTCAGTATTCCTTAGGGGATTTTTTTTTCTTTCTTTTTATTTTCCAAGACAGGGCTTCTCTGTGTAGCTTTGTAGAACAGGCTGGCCTTGAACTCACAGAGATCCACCTGCCTCTGCCTCCGTAGTGATGGGATTAAAGGCTTGTGCCAGCACAGCCCAGCTCCTTGGGGGATTTCTAAGTAGTTTAAATGTTTAGGGAGTAATAGAGGTAAAATAAGTAAAGCTTTAGAATACATAGCAGAGAGAATTAGAAGTGAGAAGGAAACAGCAAAAAGCTTAGTAGGTTCCTCCTTTGTTAAAGCGGAAGTAACAGGCTTCTGAGTGAGAAACAGGATTTTGTCTGCTCGGAGACATCCTCAGGAAGGTCCCTCAGAGATGTGAGTTCCTGACACTGAGCAATCTGTAGCAACGCTTTGAGGGAATGTGCCCCACAAAGCCAGTACTCAAGTCAAGGCTTGGCAAAAAAGACATTAACTACATCATTGTTCAATTTTACTAGTACCAAAAGGCATGTCAGAACCAGAGAAGTTCCATTCTAGACGTGGTGGGCTTGAGTGAAGTCACCATTATCTATCTACCTATGGTACGAGATACTTCAATTGTAATCGGATGTTTCTTTGGGCCACCTGCTCACAAATAAAGATAAGGAGGCTTATTAATTATGAAAGCTTGGCCTTAGCTTAGATTTGTTTTTAACTAGTTCTTACAACTTTAATTAACCCATTTTTATTAATCTATGTTCTGTCACATACTGCCCATCCTGCTTCCTCCGTGTCTCCTTGCACACCAAGACGCATCTCCAACTTCGTATCTCTCTTCCCAGAAGTCCTGCCTATATCTCTGGCCCATCTATTGGCTGTTCAGCTCTTTGTTAAGCCAATCACAGCAATATATCTTCACAGTGTCCAACTACCTCACAACATTGGCTTGTGGCACACTACCACCACCTAGTGGTTATATGCTGCTATGCAGCCCTTCAAAATATAACACCAATAGGCCCTCAACACCCATGCAGGTTTTTAACAATGCACCATAGATCTTTAGGGATACAATTCATGCAAACACATGAGTTTGAGCAATATGAATAGTTACACCCATAACTTCTTACTAACATGACTACCTAAACATGAGCTGAATGACGAGAACAATAAGACACCCTAGAAAGCCAAAGAGGCTTCAACTCTACAAAAGAACTATAGGCAACCAAAGAATGCTGAGAAGAGAA